GATTACTGACTCAGGATCGTTCCCAACACAGAACGATTACTGACTCAGGACCGTTCCCAACACAGAACGATTACTGACTCAGAATCGTTCCCAACACAGAACGATTACTGACTCAGGACTGTTTCCAACACAGAACAATTACTGACTCAGGATCGTTCCCAATACAGAACAATTACTGACTCAGGATCGTTCCCAACACAGAACGATTACTGACTCAATATTCATTCAACTTTTATTTATACAGGTTTGTCTCATTGAGCCTCGAGGACTCATTTACAAGAGAGACCTGTTTTTAACAAAGAATTATGAAAACGGTGTACATTCATTAAAGAAAGCATAAAATTGTGACGTGGAGCTTAAAAGAGAGATGTGGATCGACCAAGATACCCAAATATTTGTAGGAATCTATAAACTCAATAGGATCACCGTTCGAAGATAAAATTGAGGGAAGGACTGCTGGGACCCAGAACAGTTCCCAACACTTAATGATTAATGAGACAGGACGACTCTGACACAAAATGATTCACAACACAGAGCGATTCAGTTCAGTTTATTCTAGCATTTCACCAAGCTATTGAATGTTATGGCACCAATTCCCAACAAGTCATCTCGGGGCTCTGTAGAAACCAAGAAACAAGTTCGAGTCATAAATCTAATTCAGGTCCAGATTCAGATCTAATTCCAGTGAATTCAGTTCCTATGAAACGTTAAACATTCCCATCATGAGACAACAAAACGTACAAGTTATTTATCTAAGGGAGCCAGAAGTTTGGGCTGAATCCTCACTTTGCTACAATCTCCGACCTGGGACGAGTCCCTGACCCAGAACCGACGAGTCCCTGACCCAGAACCAGAAGTCAGAATCACAGCGTCTCTGTTCTTCTTCCAGACGTCACTGCTATCATCTTCGTGGTGGCCAGCAGCAGCTACAACATGGTAATAAGGGAAGACAACAACACCAACAGGCTACGAGAAGCCCTGGACCTTTTCCGTAGCATATGGAACAACAGGTGGGTCAGAAGTCCTAGACTCAGGTTCACACAGGACTCTCCTTTGTCTCCGCTGTCTTATTACACATTTATTCTTGATTTTTAAACAGTAAAACAGTGTTTTGTTCAGTGATGTGTTTGTGTTTCAGGTGGTTACGCACTATATCAGTCATTTTGTTCCTGAACAAGCAGGACATGCTGGCTGAGAAAGTATTAGCGGGAAAATCCAAAATCGAGGACTACTTCCCTGAATATGCCCGCTACACCATACCAAATGAAGGTTTGTCGCCCCCCCCTGGAACTATTGGACCCTGGGTTTCCTTGTGTCGGTGTTTTAAAGGAGATTCTGCTGTTATTTCAGCAACTCCTGAACCCGGTGAAGACCCGAGAGTGACTCGAGCCAAGTTCTTCATCCGGGACGAGTTCCTTGTAAGTACATGCACACATCTGAGACCAGCCGAAGGTATTTAGGGTCCAACTGTGACAGAACCAGGCCCGGTTTTAGTGGTTCTGCATGAAAAATGAGATTTTAATCATTTTGTAATCTATTTATTAAGAAACTTTTTCTGCCAAAGTGAGACCAATAGTTTTTAACAGCCAGCGTCTGAATGTTCTACTCGTCCTCTTCTTTTAATACAAAATACATACTTGTTGCCATGGTTACAGCTCAGCTTTAAGCACTAAAATAGCATTATCACAAACATAATATTTTTTTTTTTAATTATTATTCAGAACTTTATCAGGAACATTAAGCTGTTATCTATAAAGCAAGTTTTTATTTTGTTCCTTTGTGATTTTATCTTATTGTGTTTATTTTCAGGCAGAATAACGACCAGGCTGCTTACCGATGACTAACGCTAATCTAATTTAGTCCAGCATGAGCCTTTAATGGTTGTTGGTCAATGCCTGAAACAAATTACACACATTAGTGGTAGCTGTTTTTAGTTAGGAGATGATCTAAAAAGAGAGTTTTTGCATTTTTAATTCTTTGTTATAAATACCTTGAGTATCAGTTTAGTTGTATAAAACTTAAAGAAAAGGAGAAACTGTTGAAGTAAAGTTTGATTATAGATCTGTTATAGATGTGAAACTTATTCCATGTAAAAGGTGAATCATCGTAGTTTCGATTCAGTTCAGATTGTAACTTGTGGCGTCTCTCCTCCGCAGCGGATCAGCACTGCGAGCGGCGACGGCAGACATTACTGCTACCCCCACTTCACGTGCGCCGTGGACACGGAGAACATCCGGCGGGTGTTCAACGACTGCCGGGACATCATTCAGAGAATGCACCTGCGGCAGTACGAACTCTTGTGATGGACAGGAGACCGTCTCCGTCAGCCTTCTGTGTTTTATCTCCGCCATTCTGCATCCTTGACGAACCCTGACTACTCCTCCTCCACCCGTGCTCCTCCCCCCCTCAGACCACCCCTCCTGTCGAGGAATACAAAGTACTACTGAAGTGTGTCAAATCCTCCTCATCCTTTTTGACCTTTTTGTATTTTTTTCTTTTCCCCTGATTCATTCAACCTTTATTTATGCAGGTTAGTCTCACTGAGTCACGAGGACTCGTGTTCAAGAGAGACCTGTTTTAGACAGACATAAAGTACAGACGACAATAAAAAGCAATTTAAAAAAAAATCAAAAGTAGTGTTATAATAACAATGACATCAAGGTGCCATATAAAACAAGGTAAAATACTAAAAACGAACATATTTGATTTGTCCCCGTTTCCTGGAAGTAAACAGAATATTCGGGAAACGAAGTTGTCGCGTACTGCTGCTTCGATACTTTTGAGTCCTTCTTTTTGAACGCCTTCCTGTTTGTCATTCCACTAAGCCCTGGGCTACCTCCTGATTTTATTTTTGTGCTTTTGCCCACGTTATTTTCTGTGTTTTGGGTCCTGGACTGGTGGGGACCCAGAAAACGCAGCTGCAGGACTTCGGCGGAGTTACAAACGGGAGGAACGGCTCACGAGCGAGCGTGCATGCATGGATCTGTTCGTGACGCCGCCACCGTGACTGTAACCCAACTTCTTTTTGTTTTTAGCCCCCACCATCACCTGCTTTTTCCCTCTCCGCCCTCAAAGGGGAACCCCGCGTGCACTTTGCATCGGGTTCTTTTGTAACTTTTTGTTTCTCTGGAGGAAGCAAACACACAATGTAGCATCACGATATTTATTACCACCCCCACCACGACGTCGGCTCGCAGAGCTGCAGCAGCAGCCGAGAGACGTGCGGAGCGAGAGTTTAAACGAGGGGAGGGGGGCAGGACGACCACGACTGAGCTCTCTGCACCTTAGCCTTGCTGCCTCCACGGACTCGGACCGGCATCCTTTCCCCCCCCACACAAGCTTCTGACGACGAGGAGGTGGGAGTTAAGGATGAGGCGGGAGAGAAATGTATTGTTCTTTTTGTTTTTTGTTGAACTTGTACACTGTGCAAGGTTGAATTATCCTGTACAGACTGTAAAATGTAATATTATTTTGTACAACTTAATTGAAAGAAAAACAAATCTACTTGTAGATCTTTGTGCCTTGATTATGGCTGTACCTGTAAATGAGCTCAGATGTAAGTATGTTTTCGACCGCGCTGTACAGCTTGATGTCAAACTCTATCGGCAGCAGAAAGACTGCGGGTAGGGGACTTTCTCTGTAGAGTTTAGTTTTTTCCGGTTTATAAAAATAAAGGAAATGCTCTTTAGTAAAAAATATTTAAAAAATAGGGAAAAAAAAATCCTAAAAACCTGTATACATTATGCAAATTAACCACTTACCTGCAGTGAAGACCAGATGTTGCAGCGCCATGCCTTTTATTTGTGGTTTAGTTTAGTTTTTTATTTTATTTCCGTCTTTATATATATTTTTTGAATTTCACAGCTTTAAACAAACATTGGAAAATCCATTGAAAGTGTCCAAATTACAACCTGGTGTTGTTTTAATAGGAACCAACTTCTTTTTATTTTATTTCTGTTTGTCGTTTTTTTTTTTTTTTTCTCGAAACGAAGCGTGTCTGAGACGTGTACCGACGTGTGTGCCTGTGCGCATGTGTACATAAAGACAAACATAGACTCACAGAAGCAGTATGTGTGTGTGTGAGGGTGAGTGTAAAATTTTATAAATGTATGTACATGTAAATTTATAGGTCTATATAAATATATATGTACAATTATACATGTTTAATTATGTGTGTGCCTAGGTGTACATACCTATGTATGTATACGGTAAATATGTATACATACACACATAGGAAAGCATGTTTAGGATGGAGATGAATAAATGAGAGCGTGCAATATTAGTAATTTTTGGTCCTTTGGAGCCATATTTAATGGCGCAGGCACTATGAATGTGTGAGCAGCACCCAACAGACGAGCTCTTTTCCTTGTACAAACAGCATCAGCCTTTTCTTCTGCTACCGTCTAACCCCCCCGAAACAGAGTGGACCGACTGGAGGTGCGAAAGCCTTTGTTTGGCCTGGCAGGATGATTAAATGACATTTTTATTTTCTTTAAATAAAGAGGCACATTAGAGGACTTTGCTTTATTTCCATCTTGGTGTCTGGTTGTTTATTTCCGTTTGTGTTTGTTCCAGGGTGCTCGGATTATTCCGATCAGTAGTTTTATTTATTTATTTATTCTAAAAGCAGCGATTTTAAAAGTTCTGTCCAACCGTTGTCCTGATAACGGAGACACTCGACTTTACCAACAACTTGAATCTGCACAGAAAAAAGGCTCAAAGTCACTACTTGGCCTGTATTTTCCAATTAAAAAAAAAAAATTAAATTACCGTATTTTTCGCTGTATAAGTCACCTTTGTGCATAAATCTGCACGTCTTGCGACTTATGCACCGCAGCAACTAACATACTTAAATATTTATTGTTATATATTTATAACCGAATTTTTGGCAGAGATCTGACGATTTCATTCATTCTAACATTAAAGTGCATTTATTAAGTAAAAGTTCAACTGAGACACACCTTTTCTATAATATCGAGCAAACAATTGTTTTTAGGTGGTTATCTTGTTCAATTTGAAGAAAAGCACAGTGAGTCGTCCCTCTGCGCGCTTCCGCAGCCATGAATCGTTTTGAAATGCAGCTGATTTGACCATTAAAGTAAGGAAAAGTTGGACTGAAACACCTTTACTATAATTTCAAGCAAACAAATAATTGTTTTTAAGTGTTAATCTTGTTAAAGTCCTCATGTGCACGCTCCTGCGGCCACCGTTTGGCAGCCAATTGATTTTTGGCACAACACCGGCCCACGTTTCCGGGTGTTCAGCTGCAATAGATGCGACTTATGCAGTGAAGCGACGTATATTTGTTTTTTTTCAAACTTTATTAGACATATTTGGACTGATGCGACGTGTACGGCGGCAAGCTGTAATTGATATTTGGGCTTTATTTTTTTTATTGCAGGAGCGACACAAAAGGTTTAATTTAAAATTAGTGTGTTTCTTTCAAGGAATGCACGTGACCTGATGGCTTTCATGCCCGAGATTAAATTAACATTTTATGTCAAGAAAAGGCTCGGAGCGAGGCTGTAAATGACTCGACTACCACCACGTCAAGTATTTGCTCAATTTCTGCAAAATGAATTGAGCTGAGCTGTTTTCTGTGCAGGCTGATGTCACAGAGTTCATCATTTATACTTCAGTTTTCATGCTGTGACGTTTGGTGATTTTTAAGATTTAAAACCCCGACGTGTCATCGTTCAGAGTCGAGTGTTTGCAGCATCCGCACACAGAAACTTATTAATTTATTTTTAGAGATTATCTGAATTTAAAGTATGTACAGTTGAAATGTCCTGAAGAGAGAATGTTTTGAATGAAAACTTTGTATCTCCTTATACTTAGTAAATTAGAAAAGGGTGAAATAAATACTATTCTTTATGGCAATATCGGAAAAATATTTTTACATTTAAATCATTTATACTCTTTGAGTATAAACTCTTTGAGTTTGAGGATTTGCTGCTTCAGGAACTCGTGTCAGGAAAATTCAGAAATCAGTTTGAAAAACGTTTCACTCTTTAATAAACTGAATTAAACGCGAGATGAATTTATCAGCACTCACTGTAAGTTAAACATTTTAAAATACTGCAGAGGCTCTAAATGTAATCAGTTCTGTAAATATTTGGTCAAAACCCACTGACACATTTTAAATTGATGAGTTGGATTTTTAAAAGACAATGAAAAGCCGATTTAAAAATAATAAAATCTGCACAGTATTTTCCTCATATTGATGATCAGTGCGTCCTTAAAAGTGAGCAGCTGCCACATGTTGGAAACAGCCGAAGTGTCTGAAAACACGTGAAACTTACTGACCGTATTTACCCCTCTGGCCAGCTTCATGGAGGATCACCTGCCTCAAGTTTTCAGCTTTGTTTACAGCGAGTGCGTACCCACATTTTATATCTAAAGTTACTGGAGTGAACTCAGGCTGCTCTGTGTGATAACGTCTCTTGTTTTCAGCTCTCTGCAGGGGTTTTTCTTTTAGTCCCAATTGAATGTTTTTGTCTCACTTTCTCCACACATGACACTCTCTGTCAGTCGTGTTCATTCCAGCAGAAAACTCTTTATTATGCTCAGCTCATCAGGAACAGTTTGGTGCAGAACGTCAGAGATAAATATGTTCTGCGTCATGAAAACGAAGAAGCAGTGAAGGATGAACCATCACAAACAGGAAACAAAAACACGATTTGGGGACGACCTGTGAGTTTTTACGGCTCAGGTAGCGTCGGCGGGGGGACATGAAGCAACTCGAATCCACCAGAAATCAGAAAATATTTACACATCTTCTTTAAACTGTCCTACTTCGTGTCCAACGAGACATTTTCAACGACTGAGGTCAGTGTCGAGTTTAAAACATCCTCATCAATGCCAGCACTGATAAACGTGAAAAACATTTACAACACGTCCAGGTCCGGCTGCAGGAGCACACTTTGGAGGACGAGGAGCATCAGGAAGGCTGAAAAGTTACCGGCGCTGCAGAGTGAGGTGCACTCTGGGTAACGTAGTTCACAGAGACTTGTGCTTCCCCAGCAGGCAGAGGCTGAGCTGCAGCAAACCCTTCATCCACAGACAGTGAGCCAGGAGGAGGAGCAGCAGCAGGCTGGCTCCGGCCGAGCAGTACACCCCGATCACCGTGCTCTCCTCCGGCAGGAAACACTTGGACAGGCTGTAGCTGCTGGGAGACACCGACGCCTGGGGGGGAGGAGGAGGAGAAGGTGGGTGAGAGGTTAGTCTCCATCTAACAGAACCACACTGCTAACAGAACCATGGTGCTAATGGGACCATGCTGCTGTAGATTTATTTCTTTTTCACTTTTGACACATTATTTTTGTATTTTTGCTGCATGCTTTGGTATTTCTTCATTTTTGGTGAGTTGAGACGTTTCTTCTCGTCCTGAACATTTCATTGCATTCTTGACCTTGTGTTGATCTGCATATGACAAATAAACCTAAACCATTATCTGAGCTGAGGTGTCTGCATAAACCCTTCTGGCCACCAGGGGGCGTAAAACGATTAAAACAGGACTGGATTCAGTTTCTCACTCAGCTGGTTTTAATTAGATAATCCATGCCTAGATTACCTCAGAAAATCCTAATTTATAATTTTTATTATAGTTCACTTTATGTTTAACAGCCAACTTTGGCACTTGTAGTATAAAATAAAATAAAATGCAAAAAAAGACAGACGATCAAATTATAAGACCGGTACATAAAACTCTGATTTGTGTATTTGAAAAGAAAAGCCTGAGTTTTCAGAGCGTTGTGGTAAAAACTGCATCAAACTGAGGCAACAGGTCCAGGAGAGAAACCCTTAACCCCCCTCTCCGCAGAGGCACTCTCCTGGGGGACCCAAGCAGGCGTTCCTAGACCAGAGAGGATACAGAATCCCTTCAGGGAGTTCTGGGTCTCCTCCCGGTCAGACGTGCCTGAAAAACCTCCAAAGGGAGGCGTCCTGGTCAGATGCCTGAACCGTCTCAGCTGACTCCGTTCAGTGTGAAGGAGCAGGGCCTCTACTCCAAACGCTTCCTGGATGTTGGAGCTCCTCACCCGTCTCTACGGTTGAAACCCCCCCCCCCCCCATTTTGTCTTCACATCCAGTATCTTGTTCTTTCGGTCATGATCAAAACCTCAGGATCACAGCTGAGGTTGGAACGTAGACGGACCAGCAAATTGAGAGCTTTGCCTTTCGGCTCAGCTCTGTCTTCACCATGACTGACTGAAGCAACACCCTCATTACTGAGGATGAGGCCCGATCAGCCCTGGTGGGTCTGGTTGTTAGAACAGAACCAGAACAGAGGAACTGATAATCGGATGCTGGTTTCTGCACCGTGATCCCACCCACCAGGATGAAGCTGGGGTTGTTTCTGTTCCTCCAGCTGAAGGACGGCACGCTGATTTCCGGGTACTTCTTGTTGTGGAGAAACTCGCACCCGCTGTGGGTGTGTCCGCTCAGGATGAGGCGGGGCCTAAACCACCGGAGCAGCTGAGGGGAAAACAAAACAGCTTCAGAGACCGACGAGTTCCTCACAAGAAGAAATGAGGCGGCGGAGGACTCACCCGCTGGGACGCCTCCTTGGACAGCACGTCGTACTTCTCTCTGAACAGCAGGTGGCGCTCTTCAGGCGGCGCGGCGTCTGGTCCACTGCAGCTGGCGTCACTCACTCTGTACAGAGGATAATGCTGCGGAACACGGCACAGTCAGCAAACAGATGTTTCCACATCTGCTGAGAGGAGGTGTGTGCACCAAAGACTCGCAGCTGAATGATTTTTTTTAACGCCATCACATGCGAGACAGAAGGTTATTTTCAAGAACTGACCATAAACAGTTAAACTCGTAAAACTCTGGCCTGAAAGGAAGCGGGCGACTTGCATTCCTCCAAATCCTTTTATTTTAATCAGCCGTGTCCAGTTCTGGTGATCTTGTAGATGTTTTCCTGCTTCGCCACATCTGGTATAAAGTTGTTAACGGGTTTTTGTCGAGGTCATGATGAGGAGGGAACTCAACCGTTTGGAGCAGGAAAACAACTAAAACGTATGAAACTGGAACTGGACACGCGCTGACTGCAGCTCCACAGGATCCATCAACTGTCCTGCACTTTTAACAGAATTCAAAGCAGAAATGACTGGAGAGGAAGTGAAGGTGTTCAAAGGTTTGGAGACGCCTCTCGTTCCACTGCTTCTGAGACCGTTTAGAATCTTTGAAAGTCCCCAAGTCAAAGTTTGAAGAAAACAAAGGAGAAACTATAAAACCACCCAGGAGCTGCGTCTCACACCCTGCAGGTCTGCGGTAAAAACTCAAGTTTGTGACGGTATTAATAAAAAAATTGAAAAATTGAAACCAGGGGTGTCCAGTTCTGGTCCTACATTTCTCTGCTCCAACGTGAGCTTCCACAGAACATGAAGAGAGAATTCAACCATTGAATCGAGTGTGTCGGAGCAGAGAAACAAGCTAAATAAAATGGAGGATGGTGGCCCTCGAGGACCAAACCTGGACACCCCCGCTTTAAACGATCTAATTAACCACGAGCGTCCTGTGAGCTAGAAAACTGTAGTCCCTCGCTACTTCGCTGTTCGTTTATCGCGGATTCGCTCTATCGCGGTATTTCAAAATAAGATTGGACATGACACACAATTGGCTGATTGATGGACGAGCCGCACGATGGACATGGAATTTTTATTTAAAATTAATTATTTTAAATTATTTAGCACCTTTGTGCAGCCCGTGCTGCAGGATAAACTTCCTGCTGCAGCTGATCAAGACAGAGCTGTGAAGTGGGCGTGGCCAAGAGCGCTTGCAGGTGGCAAAGAGCAGCGGAGACAGGGAGCATGACATGCTGTGCTCCTTTAGAGCGTTTAGAGTTTAGAAACATTGTTTAGAATATTACAAGAGTGGGGGAAGGGTTTAAAACGCCTTCATATATATATATATATATATTCGGGGTCTTCGGGGTACGGATCCCCCGAGATAAACGAGGGACTGCTGTACATCGTCTGTCGGCTGAGAACACTGTCCTGCAGGACGTAGGTTGATTTTTCCACTTTTAGTCTTGTTTTCATTCTGCTAGAGCTCTGCAGACAAAATGAGCAAAGAACCAAACTCAGATAACAGGGGTCCCCAACCCCCGGGCCGGGGACCAGTACCAGGCCTTGACTCGTTTGGTACTGGAACACGTAGAAAAAAAAAAAATAAAAAAATAAATAAATAAATAAATATATATATATATATATATATATTTATTTTTCCTATTTGCGTAAATCTGCATGGAATATTAATTTAATAAATGAAATTACAAAACACAACATTATAATTCTAATGAAATCATAGAGGTAATAAATAAATTATAGATGATGCACTTGATTGTATTTTGTTGTGACCGGGACCTCGCCTCACATCGCTCCATGGAAAACTGTCGTGCATAAAACCGGTCCACCGTGCAAAAGAAGGTCCTAAAAGGTCCGGCCCTAAAAGACAAGAACAATCAAAGGCTTAAAGCTGGGGGCAGAGTTTCAGCTGAGGATTGTGGGTAAAATCTGTCCTGAGCTTGAGGTCATCTTAGGTGAGAAACGACAAAGTTGTAGCCGTTTTAGTCAAATCTTAACAATAATGTTCAGCACGATCTCATGAGAACTCTCAGCTACCACCACATCAGCTTTTAGCTCGGTATCTATTTAACTGACTGAGTTATTGACATGTCTGCGTTTTAGGAGGTTGGCCATCTTTATCTGGATTGGCTCCAACAGTTAACGAGCTGTAGATGCACATTAAGCGATTAATTCCATGAACGTTTCATGTATTCATGATATATTTTGTGTATTGTCTGTGTTCGCTCGTTGTCGGTGGCTAAAGAGCCAAATTAGACACGAGGAGTCAGAACACTTGAGTGAACCTTGGTGCACCGTGTCAGGCTGGTGGTGTGAAGATTGCACCTTGAGTCAGTAAAGTGTGGTTTACCTGCAACATGACGGGGGCAGTGGGGGGGTAGGACCGCGAGCCCTCACAGTTTTCCGCCCTTTCGCTGTTGGACTGAGACTTCTGCACAAAGTTAAACAAAGAATTCATCACAACGAGTCTGATTTCCTGTCTCCAAGTGTTTTACCATTTACTGACTAAAACCTTCAAGTATAAAAAAACAACAACCGAAGAGTTTGATTATTTCTGCTCGCACACCCCCGAAGCATCCACAAGTTTTCGTTTTCCCACCGCACCTGAAGGGAGCAGTTAAGGTCTCTGGAGAGTCTGATCAGCTCCTTTTCCACCGACTGGCAGATGGGACAGCCGTCACCGTGCATCGCCACGCTGTTCACCAGCAGGAAGCTGCAGAGACCAGAGGATCGTCAGTCTGACGCACCAGAACGCCGTGTGGGAGATTTTCAAGGACTAATTTCGACAGGCTTGGTGTACTTCTCACATTTATTACTTTTATTGTTTCATCCCACATAAAGAAGTATCTGGCTTTGTGTTCACTGATCTATGGAAAGCCATTTGTGTACTTATTTGATACTAGGGGTGTAACAACATCTACGGAAATGAAAATGTTACAAGAGTTTTCATAGAGTTGAAAACCATCTCTCGAGTCAAAACAAATAAAAAACCTCTCCTGTGATTTGGTTTGTTGCAATTATTACTGTAGATGTTCCTTCCCCTGCATCTCCTACAGCTACGTGCTGAAAGGAAGAGTCTCTGTTCAGCATTTATTTCAAGCAAAACAGATAAAGTGAAGATAAGTTGCCTCCCCATCTATGTCTGAAAAGACCTCACGAGTAACCAGATAGGAGAAACATTACTCAGTTGTTTGTGGCAAAAACATTTTCGTATGAAATACAAGATTTTTTAGTCTAAATTTTGAAAAAAAAAATTGTTGCATCAAAGTAAGAATTTTATGCACTGTATTTTTCGCCGTATAAGTCGCAGGTCTTTGCATAAATTTGCAAGTCCTGCGACTTATACACTGAAGCAAATAATATACGTCCCCCCCCCATATTTATAAACCAATTTTTGGCTGAGATCTGACGATTTCATTCATCCTGACATGGAAAATATTGAACACTACCATTTGCAGCCACTAGAGGGCCCTCGACTAATATGGCAAGCCAAGTGTTTTTTTAATAGGTAAAAGTGGCTATTAATGAGACGCTTGGCTTGCCATACGGAGCCATCTTTGTCTCGCTCCGGAACTCCTGGAGCAAACATCAGCTGCATTTCTCCGCGCCGCCCAGGTGAAGTGCAGCTGATTTGACCATTAAAGTTCATTTATTAAGGAAAAGTTAAACTGAAACACACTTTTACTAGAAGGTTGAACAAACAAATAATTGTTTTTACGTGTTAATCTTGTTAAATTCTTGTTAAAGTCCTCTCATGCACGCTCCCACGGCCACCATTTGGCAGCCAAACGATTTTTGGCACAACACCGGCCCCCGCTTCAGAGTGGTCAGCGGTGACGCATAATAGATGCGACTTATACAGCGGAAAGTAAAGTATTTATATTTACTCTGAAGGTTTTGAGGTTGCTTTAAAAAAAAAGTGCACCCAAAATATCTTAAATACCACAACACCCCCATGCCCCACCTAATGACACTTCCACCACCATGCTTCACAGCAGTTTTTCTCCTGAGTTACACGTTACATACAAAACACTGAACAAAATCCCTCGTATCGAGTTGCTCTAACTTCCCTACCTGACAGTAATGCAGGTTGTGTGAAAATGGGACCCATTACCACCTGATTAAGACGTGCGGCGCAGCTTATTGCTTTGTTTCGAGTCACATGTCTCCTCCCGTCACTCACTTGACTCCCCTTTTGGTGACCATCCTGGTGGAGGAGGCGTTGAAGACCTTTTCGAAGCGCTGCAGCTTGAACCAGTCCATCCTGCGAGGAGACACGAGACGACGATCACAAAACACAAACAAAAAAACAACGGCTGCTCGGTCTGTCACGTCTGTCTGTCGGGCGCCGTTACATAAGAGCCGGCTCACTTCCTGCCGCACGACTCGACTCGAATCCAAACAGCCGCTGCACGTCAACATAATCCCCTGAATCACAGCATCAAAAATTCAGCTTTTCAAGGTTTTCTTGTATCAAATTGGACGTTCATGCTGAGAAATTAGGCCGAACACAAAATAAACGCAACATCTCTGCAGTAAAAGGCAATCTATTACAAAAGCACGGGCTCATAAATCCCATTAAATATGAATTCAGAACGCTGATATGAATGTGCTGCAAGCTGCCGCCTTTCTCTTGTTCACGATTAAACTAAAACAGAAGTTATGTTGTTTTTATGAAATGCGTTTACAGTTTCAGTGTGATCATTGTAAAAGGACTTCTGTTTTTAATAAAGGTAAAGAAAAGTTTAAAACGTTGCCTCGTTTATTATCAGAAAAATAAAAATGTTTCCAACAAAGAAGCCGAAGCGCTGGCCGGCTGTGAATTTACAGCTGATTAACGTTTAGAGTCGGCCTGATTCAAGATGGCCTCCTCAGCCATCACTAAAATGACCAGAACACAGTCATTTTTACAAAATATGGCGTTTTAACTTGGTGTGGTAGTAGCTGAGAGTCATCCCCAACACATACTCTAAGCTGAGTTCCTGCTAAATGAACAGCCTTAGTAAATATCAGTTTAAAAACAGAACTGGGTCTGGTTCTGAGCTGGTCTCAGCAGGCGGGGCTGGACCCTTCAGAACATTTTACGTGACAACGCGTTGCTCCGGTGCAGCAGAGTGACAAAAACAGAGCTGACCCCGGTCTTTTGTACGTTGACGGGTTTCGCTGAAACTGCGTTTCCTGCTTTGTCCTTTAAAAGCACCAGGAAGACTCGCTGCGTCTAAACGGCGGCGTTATCGAACCGAATTCCTGCCGACCGGCTCACGCGTCACAACACGAGCCTTTCAGGTCACGTCACGTGGACGAGCTCGTCTCCTTTGTTTTCTGCAGCTCACATTTCAGCTCTAAAACATCTCCTCTGAAATGATTCATGAGCAGCAAACAGACGCTTAAAAAGTAAAAAATCGGTTCATCCAGGTGTCTGCGCTCTAGAAAGATGAACTAAAAGTGCTTGAACTGCACTTCAAGTCACGAGATCAGTGCTTCATAATCTACAGGCGTTAACAAACGAGGCGTGCAGTGACAACAGCAGCGCAGCTTTTGTTCTTACTCGTAATGGAAACCGATGTCGTGGTTGCCGACCAGCACGACCAGTTCTGTGTCAGGGGAGTGTCTGAACATCCTGTGGAAGCGGCGCACGTCGTCCTCCCAGTGCTGCCGAGAGGGAAAACGTTTCACATCAGACCCGAGGAGAGGACCTGAAGACCTCTGAGGGTCCACCAGCAGCCTCTGGAGGCAGCTGACGAGAACCAGCTCAGTAAACACACCATAAATAAACATAAACACAAACAAAAAGTGTGAAGGTCAAAACATTCACTGCTGCAAACTTAATTTCTGCTCATTTAGCTGCTTAGCTTTTAGCTAGTGTCGTGCTACTTTTAGCTTTCAGTTAGTGTTTAGATGTTTTTAGCATTAAATTAGTGTTTTGATATTTTTTAGCTTTTAGCTAGCATTTTGTTAGTTTTAGCATGCATTTTATTGTTTTGCTACTTTAATCCTTCAGCTAGTGTTTTCCGATTACCTTGCATTTAGCTGCTTTTAGATTGCATTTAGCATTTTGCTATTTTTAGCTAATATTTTGATATGTTCAGCTTCCAGCTAGCGTTTTTCTATTCTTAGCTTTTTGTGCCTTATTAGTTTTTAGTTAGCATTTTGCTACTTTTAGCTTTCAGTTAGCATTTTTCTTTTTTTTATATGGGTTTTGTTTAGCTTTTA